ATAAATGCAGGTAGACACACATACACACACGCTAGCAGAGTATGTCTGAGCAGACTGGGTCCAATCAACACTTTCAGCTGATACCCTCATGCGCCTCAAAACTCAGCACGTCCCAATCTCTTGTCACAATGGTCCTAGTAGTAACCCCCTTGATGAACAGACCCCAACGTAGTATTGGGCATTACAGGGATCTTTGGCTTAGGTAAAAGAAGCATTGCTGCAGAGCAAACGAGGAGGTCAAGGGGAAGGAAGAGTAAGTGAGGTTCAGAGAGAGAGTATAGCCATGAACAGCACATGCCCCTGGCGGCTGGGGGGGTACGGCTGTGCTGGTGGCAGCGATAAGCGTGGAGCTCCCACAGCTGTTGGTGGCGGGGGGGGGGGGGGGAGCGCTGACCAGGGGTCAGCAACTACCCGTAGGCGCCGCCAGCAGCGTCAGCAGTGGCCAGCGGGGACTACAGCCCACTCACAGACGCCACCGGCGGTGGGGTGGTGAGTGGTGACCACCTGCAGGTGCTGCTGACACTGTTGGCAGCGCCTTTTTGTAGGGGGTGCATCGCTATGCTCGGGGCTACGCATTGCCCCTGAGTATAGCAACCAGCTTGACAGTAACAGTTATTTATTGCCAGGTATATAAACTTATGATGATTCCAGTAGTAATAGCTATAGAAAAGAGAAAAATAAGCAGTTACAATATTACATAGTTTCAATTAGGTATTTGGGGAAGTCTAACTCAAGTTTGATCAACAAAAGTCAGGTTTAGAAAGTTGTGCCTGGAGAAAGAGAGTAAAAGTCAGGTCCCTGGAGTCAGAGGAAGAGAGAGAGAGAGAGAGGGAGTTGGGGTCTCACCACTCAGCGAAGCTTGAACTGGTCTTGGTCTCCAGGTGCTTGTTGGAGCTTGCAGATGGGCAGAGTTACGAGCATGATCAATAGAGGGATCCAGGCAGAAAAGGCATGGAGCTGGTGCAGCTTTTGGATCCAAGCACCAGAACAGGAACTTGTGCATGGGTGGTGGTTTTGTAGAGAACTGACAACGGCTCAAAGGAGAACAGGAGGCTTGGTAAACACTGGCTTTTGGTGGGGAAAAAGAACTGAACACCCCTCGCTCTTGGGTGCTGCAGAATAGGAACTGATCACTCCTGGCTATGGGTGGCATTACTCTGAGGGAGCTCACAGTGCAAACAGGCAGATTCAGTGTTTTGGGTACCAGTAAAGGAGTCATTACTAGAATTGGTCTGATAACTGCTGAGCTGGGAGTGTGTAGACATGGGTTGATTAGCATTTGGAGCAGGGATCCCCCATCGTGCAGTGCTCCCCTGCTTCTCTGGTCCCAGAGTTCAGTGCGGTCCTTGCCTTGGACTCTCTGTTCTCCATCCTGACTGCTAATGAAGGTGAGTGCCTGTTCCATTGCCATGAAAATGAGTTGTCATCCAGTTCCATCTCTGATGTAAATGAGACCAGGGGAGTTGCGTCACTCTAACCACCCTTGTCTGGAGGGATTTAGGTGTGTCTCTCACTGCATCTTCCTTGTCTTTTGTAAATCCTTCCTCTAATCAGTTCTTGTTTGGGGAGGTGGGGGTGAGTCGGACAGGCTGTGTACTGTGCCAGGGCTCCCCGAGAGCACCGAGCTGAGAGGTAACAGTTAGTCAGGCCCAGAGGAGCCAGGCCCAGTCCATGTCCCCCACAAACGCATCCGTTTCCCATTGGCAGGCAAGTGGGGAACAGCTGAGGTGCACGGTTGCATCTGATGTGGTGGCTTGGAGGCCCCAGGGAGTGGTTTTGTCCTCCTTGCTCATAGGAGCTGCCCTTGTCTTTGGGATTGTGCAGTTGCAGCTCTGGGGTTGGCACCTGGGGTTCAGCCTCTTCCAGAGTCCACTTGCCTCTGCCTCTCATTAGGGCTGATTGGGTTGCATGCCCTACCAGACCTGCCTGGTTTTGGTGTCCCTACCTTTCCCATCCCCCAGCTGTTCGGTGCATTTCCAAAGCTACCTGCAGGCCAGTGCCTCAGGGGAGGGAATTCGTGAAGCAAACAGCCAATGCTTGGAGGTTGTGGTTTTCGTGCTAAGTCTGCACTGCCTGCAGTGGGGTTTTCACTGTCTTGGGACTGTTTCCCTCCACAGGGCTCGGGGCTCGGTTCAGGCCGAGTACTGCAGGCCGGGTACTGATTAAGCCTCTCACTTGTACAGAGAGATGCACAGCGAAGGGGCATGAGTGGCAACCAGGTGTGATCCCTTAGCACAGCTTTCAAGCCACATCACACCCGAATTTCTTTGGGGTCCCCCACCACACACTATGCAGTGTGTGCTCCAAGTCTTCGAAGGCCACGTGCCTCACACAGGAGCAGACCCTGCTTGGGGCAGCGAGAGCTGGGGAGAGCTGTGCTCCAGCTATTGCCTGCTATCCGTGGCTTTTCCCACGGAGAGCCATGATGGCACTGCTTCTGCCCTGCTGGAGAGACGGCCCTGTCCACATGAAGTCCCTCCCCAGCCCCTGCTGGAAGTTTTTATCCATCAGGCAGCCATGCAGGAAAAGCTGCGCAGCACAGAAGTGCTCCACCCATGTGTCCATGGGTCTGACAGAGGAGCTTGTTCTTAGAGTTCAGCTTGAAACCGGTTCCCAACCCTGTGCGCTCACAATCATGTAGCTCCGCTGACTTCATCCAGAGCAGCTTGCCCTCCTGTTTCACCCTTGCAAACCATATGGACTGGTTTCGCCATCTCTGCTCTTGGTGTAATGTTGTTTTTGTCCTTTGCAGAAGAGGTAGCTCTGGGAATGATAGCATGAATCCACCTGCGAATACAGATTCTGTAAATGGGAGCATAGAACCAGGCCTGTGCTGAGCCCGAGCCACCGGCAGGGAAGCCACACAGGCCTCCGGTCCGTCTGGAGGGAGGATGATCCATGCAGACCAGTTGTGTGAGTAAAGTGCCCGTATGCACTGTCGTCTGAACTGCTGACAGGAAATGGGGCTTTTGCAAGAGCTGTAGCTTCGCCAGCCATCAGAAACAGCTCAGACAGGATTCCCTGTGAAGCAAGGCAAGGTGCCATGCCTGTAAAACGCAGGGGTGGGTCCCTGCGCATCTGATAGGAATGTTTGGCCTTTGTCAGGACCAACGGGGAAACTCATGAGATGAAACTTTCAGACAGGAGAAAAATCTCGCTTTCCTTGAAGTGTGGGTTTCTCTTCCTTTGCTGACTGCACACGAGTTATGTCATGACTCACCAGATTACTGGTATTAGTGTCCCCTGGCAGAATTTCTCTCTAGATTTGCAGCCGCGATGGCTGTAGCCCTGGGGGTGGGGAGGCAGGGGCTGGTTACTGTGCAGGGGTTATTTTTCCCTGGCTACTCTCATGGTTTTTCAGGTGCAAGGAAATAGGCTGTTTTCTATTTCTCCCCTCAAGGGAAGGGGATGGCACACTTAGAAACATTGGGGGAAGAGCCATTGACAGAGGTTTGCCTCTTTAAGCATCGCCAGAGCCCAGGGCCTGTGGGCCCCCTGGCACCTGTCTCCCAGACTGCAGGGCAGAGCTGTGAATTTGCCTGCAACATGCTTCCCAGGTGAGTGCCTTAACTACTAGGCTGCAAAGTCATCCTCTGAGCCCTGGGGTGTGCAAAGAGAAGGCATGTTTCCCAAGGGAGCTGGGGCGAGAGCCTCTTGGGTGCCTGTACAAGGGTGCCAGGGGGCGGGGGTGCTCACATGGGAGAGGCTGGCTCTAGCCTCTTCCCAGGCAAGTGCAGATTTGAACTTGTCTCCAATTGTCCAGGAGAGTGACTGGACCAGTGGGCAGTGGATGGGGGAAGGGTGAGGGAGGCGCTGTCTCCTCCTCATAGCTTGGGAGGGACTGAAAGCTGCGGTGTGCAGCCTCCTGGCGAATGAGACAGGGAGATGCCCCTTTGCAAGCCTGCTCTACGCTCTCATTCTAGCAGCACAGTCAGGGCTACATGCTCTCTCCCCTCCCAGCGACCTGTGAATCGAAGGGAAGCTGGGAGACAGTGACCACGAGTGATCACTTTCTCTATCTATCACAAAGCTGGCAAGTCAGTCAGCAATGCAGTAATCCTTGACTTTAGGAAAGCCGACTCTCACATGCTCAGGAGGCTGGTTGTCGAAGCCCTGAGAGGCCACGATCTGACAGGGAGGAGAGTCCACAATGAGTGGTCACTCCTTAAGGAAGCGATCCTTGAAGCACAAGGGAAGTC